AAGGATCAGGAAGGAAGTTGGGATGTCGGATAAGTTATAACTTTTACTATTTGAAAATAATTCCCACACATATTTAAATAAACATATTTATTTAGAGGAAACATGCAGAAGACGGTGGGAGAGTTTGCGGTACACGTCTCCTCTCTCGCAGCGTGAGAAATCCAATCAGGTTTTAACCAGAACGAGTGAGAAATTTGCTCAAAGAGCCAGGAGCCGAAGCCCGTACGGCGTATTTGGACTTTGTTTTCGTTCTTACTTGATTTGCCGCGGCTCGCAGTCCACCCCGGGCAGCAGCAGCCTGGCGGCCTGTCTCACATCGTCGCTGTCGACGGAGAAGCTGCGTCTGTGTTCGGTGTGGGCGACGGCCACACGGATCCACTCCATCAGCGGAGGCAGAACCAAGAACGGCCTGCAGAGCAGAACAGGGCTCAGTAATGATTAGCATCAGTCATTTCAGAGTCAGATTACATTAAATTTGACGAGGGTAATGATTTGTTCAGCAGCTCTGTGCGAGTAAGTTACACTCGTTACACAATTTCAGTGTAGAAATATTAATAATTTACACCATTAGCTAAAATCCCAGCCTGGCGTAAACAGTTAATAGAGATGTTGGTTCCCTTTGAGGCTCAAACTAAACTCATTAAAGATGTCCTGATAGATATTAGAGAGGCAGCAACACAAAATCAATACTTAAAATTTATTACAGGGACAATTCAGAGCTGAAAGAGATCTAGGAGCGGTAACCTCCCTAAGTGCTGTTATTACCCTCATTTATCACAAAGAGCAGTGGCCTGACTGATAAATGATGTGTGCATTCTTCATAATTTATTATAAAAGTGTGTTTTTTAGATTAATCAATCTAAAAATAACCCACGCGCGCTCTGCCTGCGCCGTGTTTCTCCTCCTGCAGGGAAACGTCAGCAGAGTGATTTTATCTGACGCAGGATAAAACCAGGGGCGTCAGAAAGGGAAAGGATTCAGATTTCTGTGGGAAGTCAACTTAAACTATATTTCACCTCTTTAAAACAGCAGTGATGGATGAAAACAAAGCAGTAGTGTAAATTAAAAGTATTTACAGTTTATATTCTGTAAAAAAAAAATATATATCACCTTTAACTTTGATCAAATTGAGCTTTAAATTCACTTGGTTTGGAAAATTCCCTTGTTTCATTTAAGCAAATTTTTGCACCACTTCGATGGATGCCGATTCTTTTAATGAAGATTTTTGCTTTTTTACTTTTTATTAGTTTATCTATAATGGTAGAACACTTTAGTCGTGTGTAAACAGCTTTTTAAACCTAATTATGATTCATTTATTCACATTTATAATAATAAAAAACATCTATATTCATATGTATCGTTATCGCTTAACTCCATTTCACATAAATTGTACTTAAATTTAATTCGCTGTACTTTCTCATGTCAGTATTCAATAAACTTTTGTAAGTACGCAACGTTCAGATTATCTGACCTTCAGAAACAACATCCACATGTAATTACAGAGTAAAACCTTAAAGTTATCCAATATGGTAAATTAAATCACAAAACTCTAATCTTATCCATCAAAAAGTCATCGCTGTAATAGCATTTAATAATTAAGCATCTAGTCTAGTCTACATTTCAATTTTTTTTTTAAATAAATCAATGAACACTCTGCGGTTCTTTTGCAAATGTAACCTTGCCTCTCCTATTTAGTTTCAATTGAACTTTTTCATCGTATTTAATCACTTTGCTTGTCATCCTGCAGATTCATTCAGGTCCTTGCTGCTCGTCTCCAAGCTTTCAGCTGAATGCTAAGCAGAGTTTTGTCTCAGAGGGATGGAAACTCTGCTGACGTGTCACTCCGCCTTGACATTCCTCACGTTCCCAAGGGTCGCCCCGATGGAGTTTCAGCGTTCCTCGGCGAGGAAGAACGCGAGAAAGATGTTGGAATATCTGTCCATCAAGAAGCTGCAGGCTTTGGCAAGAGTCAGCGCTGACCGGCCCACGCTGCTGGAGCAAATACCTTCAGCAAGAATGTAGAAATGTAGGTTTTTATTGTGAGCCTGTACTCAGCTTGGCTGGAAGGTTAAAAGGACAGATGCAAAAATCGACTCAGTTGCCAGAAGTCATATTAGTAAATCTGAATCTGTTAAATATCTTATCATTTCATTCAGGGGTGTTAAAGTTGAGACTCAGCTAAAAGTTTCAGAACTAGAAACCAGCACCTCTGCTCCACAGTGTAAATCGTAACTTCGTATTTAACTGAAAAAGACGAGTGGACACAACGTGACTTTGGTCGCAGTTTAGCTGAACTCAATTAAACGACGATGTGTTAAGAACAAGAACTCGCCAAAGAACTCAGACATTTTGAGATTAATCAAAAAAATCCTAATTTGCTAGATTTTTTTTTTGTTGAAAGTTTGAGATGAGGCACAGAAATTTTTGAGAAAGAAACTTGGAAATTTCTGAATTTTTTTCTAGCAAATTTTCAAACTTTTAACTCTAAGAAATTTCCTTTTTTTCATTTAATTCCTGAGATCAATCTAAAAACATCAAAGTTTTTTCTATCAAATATTCAACTTTTGACACTCAGAAATGTTCTATTTTTTCCATTTAATTCCTGAGGTCCATCTAAAAACATCTGAATTTTTAACTTTTCAAACTAAGATTTCTATTTTTTTTTCCATTTAATTTATTAGATTAATATAAAAGTATCTGAGTTTTTTCTAGCAAATTATTGACTTTTGACATTCAAAAATTTCCTAATTTTTCAATTTAATTTCTGAGATTGGTATAAAGATATCTGAGTTTTCTCTAGCAATTTTTGATGTATGACACCAATAAATTTCCGTTTAATCTCCAATTTTAATTTAAAAGTATCTAAGGCTATTTGTAGCAATTTTTTTTTACTTTTGACATTCATAAATTTTCTTATTTCTTCTATTTAATTCCTGAGATAAATCTAAAAACACCAGAGGATTGTTTTAGCAGATTTTTGACTTTTCAATCTTAGAAACTTCCTTGTTTATTCTAGGAAATTTCTAAGATTTTCTAGAGGAAATGTTCTTTTTTCAGCGAATTCTGTGGTGTAAAGTGAGCAATAAATTTGGATTTAAGTGAATAAATTAAGTGGATTTAACTTATGTTTTCACATAGTTACAATACATTAAATAAAAACCAAACATTTTAAGTGAAGTCAGCACTGTTTTTCTGTCTTGGCCGACATTGAACATCAAATGTCTGCATCGTTTTGGAAATAAAAAGCGAGTTGGTGCAGCCCGACTATCTCTCGTTAAGTAATTTCACAATAATAATAATAATAATAATAATACCTGAAAGGTAAGTGAGCGTCTCACCTCTCGGTTTGTAGGGTGACTTTGGACGGCTCCACGTTGGGGTTCTCCCACTCCATCTGTGGGCAGTGCATGAAGTAACAGAGGGTGTAGAGCGCTTCGGGTTCCCAGTGGACCGTAGAGCTGCTCTTCTGGTGGACCGGCGTCCCGTTGCTCGGGTTCTTGATGTGTAACGGCTGCAGGTGATGCATGGCCCGGGAAACCAAATCACCTGGAAAACATGACATCAGCCTCGTTCATTAAAACCGAGCTGTAAATCGCAGGTTTAGTTGACGTAAAAAGGAAATGCGCTCCCCTGATACACAAAGCCCGTCTATTGATTAAGCCACCATGTGCCCACGCTGTCTTGAGTGGAAAATTGCCGTCTTAAAAGCCATCCTACTCACATAAGCTCTGTTTTTCTCCTTTGTTCAGTTTCAGTTTCGTTCAGTTCATTTATCCCGGGTCAGTTCAGCAGAAATATTTCACTTAATAACCAGCAAAGCTTATTTAAAACGCGCAGGAAATTGTCTAATTGTTTGATTTAGAGTATTTCTAATTGCTTGAGTGGAGAATTTAGGTAAGTTTTGTTAAAGTGGTGATTCAGATTGGGAAGACTGATTTAACCCCACTGGGCAACATTTTTACAGTGTAACTCTGAAAAAACTAAATATCTCATTTCAATCTTGCAATTCTGAGACAAACAAGATGAACTGAACAGATTTATTTTAATTATTGACACTTTTTTTTTTAACCAACTGTAACATCCGGCTGAGTGGTGAAGATTAATATAATATATACAGAAGGCAAAATTACAGAAAAACATGATAAAAAATTCATGAATCAATGTTTTAACAGCTGTTAAACTTTAGACGTGTTTTAATTAAAGTGGGTTTAAAAATGTAACTTTTGTATAGGTACAGTCCGTTTTTATCCAAGAAAATCAACAATATCTCCAAAAATCACAGGGATTATCATTTAATCCTAAAAGGCAGGGATGTCAAACTTATTTTAATTTTGGGTTATATAAAAAATCTGAACGTTCTTGTGCCAGAATATATTGATTAAACAAATTAAACTGTAAAAATATCAATAAATGGCTGTCCCTACAGCATTTTGAGATTGTTTTATGTTTTTTACAGATTCTCTGGTGCTAATTTAGAAATGTTTGTAAGGAATTTCTACAATATTTACGATGATGCATGTCATTAAATGTGACTTTGATCAATTTTGACAGAAATTTGAGGCAAAGTCAGAAAAACTGTGGAGATTTGTTGATTTTGTGTGAATTTTGCAGATTTGTGAAGAACTCACTGATGTAATTTGGAGTCTAGAGGGCCACATAAAAAGCTACAGCGGGCCAGATTTGGCCCCCAGGCCTCGAGTTTGACACATCTGCAACCACAGAGTTTGAATACAGATTTTTTCGTCTGCATGATATTTTATTTATTGCTTGAAGCACGATTTAATTCCAGCTGAGTTCGTGCCCAGCAGGAGTGAAGAATGAGGGGAAGAATATTTTTAAAAAGCGGATTTCAGAGGAGGTGTGAAATTCAACTTTTAAAATTTGGCCCATCCACGGCACAGAAGCAGATATTTAGCACTGACGTTCAGCATAATGCTCAGATTCACAGCGTTCACAGCTGTGATCGATCAGGTCATTAGTGATGCATTTAAGAATAATGATTAAAAGGCTGCAAGAGGGAAAATATTGCAGAGTCAGGCTGTAGGGTTTATTTCGCAGATAAATGTATTCCTCTGTTGATCTAATTATTCATTCAGTTTACTGGAACATTGGAGCTTTCTGTTTCTGTAAGGAATACAAACAAGGAGAAGAAAAAATGCATTACTTTGATTGATGAGGGATTTGAAATATAATAGTGTGAAAAATGAAGAAAAACAACGCAGTGAGAGGAATTGTTATCACTCTGTTGGATCTATGGGAATCCATTAAGAACAAAACTTGCATGCAGTGTGCTTAATATTCAAGAAGTAGTAGCAGATTTATAACCTTGAAGGAGGCAAAACTTATAGCTGAAATGTGTATTCTGAAGGTGGAACATCCTGCTGTCCGAGGATTAAAGAGAGAAAACAGGAGACTGCAGCTTCAAGAACTGACAACGCTCCTGAGGGGTTTGGAAAACACACTACACGATTGCTTCTTAAATAAATAATAAAAAAACCAACAACAACTAAAATAAGAGACTCAACACAAGCAGTAAGAACCGCAGCCGTCCCTCTCAGCTACAACCTGGTCAAAGACAATAAACAAGATTTCTTTGGCTTCGTTAATTGTTTCTGTGACTTTGATTTTGTCAGCAGGACGACGTTTGCTCCCGTCTTCTCTGCTGTAATTATCCAAGCAACACTCCTGTGGGGTTCATGCTTCAGCTCATCTGAATTAATCACAGGGGACAGCTTACTGCCTTTGTTTCTCCAAGCCAACTCCTATTCGAGTCGGAAGGACTCAGAACCGGGAAAACTTTCTTCCCCTTTTCCTGTAAAAATGCTTAAAAGAGAAACTATCACTAATGTTACAAACTGCAGCAACTCATGAAAACATCAGCTGTCGACTTAGCTTGTCTTCTTCTATTGTCATACTCAGATATAGTGTAGAAAACTCAGTAAAATAGACATATAACTCCAAGAACAAAAGTTTACATATATGATATTGATTATGGAAGGTGATTTGAGCCAAAATTTGTACATCAAAGTCACATAAATAGCTCTTCCATGCTAATATTTGGTAATCATTAAAGCAATGCTAACAGCAAACAGTAAAAGCTGTAAGTTATGTTGACTATGAGGTAGCTAAATGCTAAAACTAGTACACGACAGCAAGCTAACAGTGTGTTAGCATTTAATGCAATGCTAACAATAAGCAACAAAAGAGGATTGATGGGAATGTTTTTGATTAAAAATAAAATTAGCATATGGCAGCGTGCTAACAGTGTGCTAGCATCCACATTAATGTTAACAATACACAGTACAAACTGACAGTTGGGAATGTTATTTGATTATGAGGTTGTTATGCTAAATGTGGCACATGGCAGCATGCT